TTTAAATGTGTCCTACCCGATCCGCTGATCAGGAATCCCAAAATGGCACTCTGAGAGCTGGCTGCAAGCCAGGAATGTGAAGCCAGGAGGTGAGCGACAGAGTGAGCCCCCAAGCCCACGTGTCTGGTTTTTATACCAACCCTGGCTGCTTAACTCCACCCTCAGGTCCCAGCCACCTTCCCTTTGGTGGTGACGGGATTTTTCTTTCCCAATGTCCTGATGGCTTTGGTCTGGAGTGGGGGTGGGGTCCACAAAGCCTGTATGGGATTAGCGCAGGACATCCTTTCCCCCTAACAGTCCCAGATGTTGATCTTTGCCTTCACTATCACTGCTTTGGGTGATGTGTCTGTAAAGATGTCTTTGATGTGCATATCATGTAGTGTTTCACCTATATTTCCTTCTATGTATTTTATGGTTTCAGGTCTTATGTCTAGTTCCTTAATCCATTTTTTTTTTTTTTTAAAGATTTTTTTTTTTTTAATAGAGGCATGTTTTATTTCTTTCTTTCTTTATTTGTTTGTTTGTTTTGTTTATACATGCACTGGGTACAGTCAGAAGCACGGGAGGGTGAGAGAATTCACCAGAGCCAGAGCGGGGTGCAGAGCAGGCAGAAGGACCGAAGTACACTGCTGAGGGGAGCAGCGGGCGGCAGGAGAGGTCTGCGCGCCATGTGGGACCCTCCTCTGGTGGCCGGGGAGCAGCCGGGGATCGAACCGGCGCCGCAGAGGCCGCGGGCAGCTTCGCAACCCAGCGCTCAACCGCTGCGCCACCGGGGAGGCCCATTCCTTAATCCATTTTGAGTTGGTTTTTGTGCATGGTGTTAGGTAGTAGTCAAGCTTCATTCTTTTGCATGTAGCGACCCAGTTTTCCCAGCACCATTTATTGAACAAACTTTCTTTGCTCCAATGCATATTCTTTGCTCCTTTGTCAAAGATTAGTTGACCATAAATCTGTGGGTTTATTTCTGGATTTTCTATTCGATTCCATTGGTCTGTGTGTCTGTTCTTGTTCCAATACCATGCAGTTTTGATGATTATGGCTTTGTAGTATAGTTTGAAGTCTGGGAGTGTGATGCCTCCATTCCCTTTTTTTTCAGGAGAACTTTGGCTATTCGGGGTTTTTGGTGATTCCATATGAATTTCATCAATAATTGTTCTATTTCTTTGAAGAATGACATTGAAATTTTTATTGGAATAGCATTGAATCTGTATATTGCTTTTGGTAGGATGGCCATTTTAATAATGTTTATTTTTCCAATCCATGAGCAGGGGATGTCTTTCCATTTCTTTGTGTCTTCTTCTATTTCTTTTAACAGTATTTTATAGTTTTCTTTGTATAGGTCCTTTACCTCTTTTGTTAGATTTATTCCCAAGTATTTGATTTTTTTTGTTTTGATAATAAAAGGGATGGTTTTTTTGATTTCTTCTTCTTCAGATTTATTGTTTGTGTAGAGGAAGGCTACTGACTTTTGCATGTTGATTTTGTATCCTGCCACTTTACTGAACTGATTGATGAGTTGAATTAGTTTTTCTGTGGAATTTTGGGGGTTCTCTATGTATATTATCATATCATCTGCAAATAATGATAGTTTGACTTCTTTTCCTATTTGGATTCCTTGTATGTCTTTCTCTTGTCTTATTGCTTTGGCTAGGACTTCCAGTATTACATTGAAAAGCAGTGGTGAGAATGGACATCCTTGTCTTGTTCCAGATCTTAATGGAAATGCTTTCAGCTTTTCACCAATGAGAATGATACTGGCTGTTGGCTTGTCGTATATGGCCTTTATGATGTTGAGGTATGTTCCTTGTATCCCAAGAATTTCAAGGGCTTTTATCATGAATGGATGTTGTACTTTGTCGAAAGCTTTCTCAGCATCTATTGATATTATCATATGGTTCTTATATTTCTTTTTGTTGATGTGTTGGATAATGTTGATTGATTTTTCGGATGTTGAACCATCTTTGTGTCCCTGGAATGAATCCTACTTGGTCATGGTGAATTATCTTATGGATACATTTTTGGATTCTGATAGCTAAAATTTTATTGAGGATTTTTGCATTAGTGTTCATTAGCAAGATTGGCCTATAGTTTTCTTTTTTTGTGTTGTCCTTGTTTGGTTTTGGTATTAGCGTAATGTTGGCTTCATAGAACGTGTTTGGTATTATCCCTTGCTTCTCAATTTTTTGGAAGAGTTTGTGAAGGATAGGCACTAATTCGTTTCTGAACATTTGGTAGAATTCATTTGTAAATCCATCAGGTCCTGGGCTTTTGTTTTTGGGAAGGTTTTTGATTACCATTTCAATTTTGCTGCTTGTAATTAGTCTGCTTAGGTGTTCTATTTCTTCTTTATCTAGCTTTGGGTGATTGTAGAGTTGTAGGAATTTGTCCATCTCCTCTAGATTGTTGAACTTGTTTCCATATAACTGTTCATAGTAGTTACTGATTATTCTTTTGATTTCTACTGTGTTCGTTGTGATTTCTCCTCTTCATTTGTGATCCTGTTTATTTGTGCTTTCTCCCATTTTTCCTTTGTGAGCCTGGCTAGGGGTTTGTCTATTTTATTTATTTTTTCGAAGAAGCAGCTCTTGGTTTCATTGATCTTTTGGATTTTTTTTTTAGTTTCAATTTCATTTATTTCTGCTTTGCTTTTTATTATTTCTTTTCTTCTACTGGTTTTGGGCACCCCACCCTTATTTTGACTCTAGTCCTTCCTCTCCCTGCCCTTCCCTTCCCCCTCCCCCCTCCGTAGTGTGTCTCTGGTTTGCTTGTTGATTTTGATTTTATAGTTGCTTGTTGATTTTGATTTTTACTTTGTATTGATTAGTCTTTTTCCTGGTTTCTTATTTAAGTTTTCTAAATTCCTACTGTGAGTGAGACCATCCAGTATTTTTCTTTTTCTTTCTGACTTATTTCACTGAGCATGATCCCTTCTAGCTCCATCCATGTTGCTGCAAACTGCATGTGTTTATCTTTTTTGGTTGCTGAGTATAATTGCTGATAACTTCATCGTGTATATGTACCACATCTTCTTGATCCAGTCATCTATTTTTGGGCATTTGGTTTGTTTCCATAGCTTAGCTATGGTAAATAGTACTGCTATGAACATAAGCGTGCAGGTGCCCTCTATTACTGTTAATTTTAATAGCTGCTTCTAATACCAGAGATCTATTTTAAAAACAACACTTTAATTTTCATACAATAAAGTGCACACATTTAAGATGTGTATTTCATGTAGCACTGTTTACAATAGCTAGGACACAAAAACAGCTTAAATATCCATCAATAGACAATTGGATCAAGAAGATGTGGTGTATGCACAGTGTGGAACATCTTCAGTTATAAGGAAAGATGAAATGTAGCCATTCACAGCAAAAGGAGGGAATTTGACTAAAGCAAGTCAGAATGACAAACACAAATACTTGACATTTACATAATAGATGATTATACAAAGTAAAATATAAAAGCTAGTAGGCATTAAACACTGTGAGGGGTCTGGGGTTAAGAGGGAGAGGGAAGGAAGAAAGGATAAGGGGATATAGAGATTGTTTGTGGGGGAGAACTGTACAGTTCAAAGAATTTTAATGAACTTCTATCTGTTGAAACTTACCTCAATCAAGTTATAGAATATTTTACCATTTCTAATTTCCCCTATGCCCCTTCCCATTCAATTTAATTTCACCCTTGGCTCCCTTGGCTGTAGGCAATCACCTATTGTTTTCTGTCACTATAGAATTCACTTGTCTTTCATAAGAAATGGAATGATATAGTATGTATACTTTTGCCTTTTCGTCCTTTCACTCAGTATAGTGTTTTTGAGTAATTGGTTCGCTCTTTTTTATTTCTGAGTAGTATTCTCTTGGAGATCTTGAAAATAAAAACTCCCATAGAAGATCTTCTAGGCACAACACATACTTTTCTTTTTTTATAAAAGATTTATTTATTTATGCATACAAGTACTGGGGTACAGGCCAGAGGTGCAGGGAGTGAGAGGATTCACCAGAGACAGTGTGGGGAACAGAACAGGCAGACTGACTGAAATACACTGCTGAGGGGAGCAGTGGGCAAGTCAGGAGAGGTCTGCTGCTCCATGTGGGTCACCTTCCTGGCCAGGGATCGAACTCGTCCTGCAGTGGCTGCCGATAACTTCATAATGCTGTGTCTTAACTCCTTGTGCCACCAGGGAAGCCCCAGGCACAGCACATACTTTATCTGTAATTCTTACAATAGTTCTGTGAGGGCTCCAGTGAGTCTTCCAGAGGTCTATGTCTGGTCACTCAATTTTCTTTTCTTGCTGCCCCTGCCCCCATTCTAGTTTGAAAGCCCAGAAAAAAATATGACCTTTTAATGGAAAGACATGAGCTTTGAATTAGATTGACCTTAGTTCAAATCCAAGTATCAGCCCTTTTTTGTGTGACTTAAACTCTCTGCTGCTCATTTCATCTCTTAAATGAGGCGAGTGATACTTGTCAGGATGTAATAGGGATAAAGTCTCAAGATCAGGGCCTGGCATACATGGAAGTCATGGTGGTTTCGTCTCCTCTCTCCTCCCCTCCCCTCCCCTCCCTTCCCTTCTTTGCTTTTTTCTTCTTTCCATTTTTTTTAAAGATTTATTTATTTATGCATACAAGAGCTGGGTACAGGCCAGAGATGTGGGGGGCGAGAGGACTCACCGGAGACAGAGTGGGGAGCAGAACAGGCAGACTGACTGAAATACACTGCTGAGGGGAGCAGCAGGCAAGACAGGAGAGGTCTGCTGCGCCATATGGGTTGCTCCCTGGCTTGCCGGGGATCAAACTTGTGCTGCAGAGGCTGCGGATTGCTTCATAGGGTGATGTTAACCCCTTGGACCACCAGGGAGGCCCTCTTCTTTCCATTCTGAATTTCCCCAAGTACCAGACTAGACAGCAGGTGACTGTGATATGCCTCCTAACACCACCACCACTCTAACCCTTACATATGCACAGACCCATTAATGCATTTTCCTGTGCTTTCTCTAACAGAACCTTCTTCTATAGAGAGATTCAAGGACTTCAAGATCAAATCCTATCCTCAGCAGGACTTTAGTACTCTGAAACTTCTGCATCTCAAGAAATCCTGGGAGAAAGAAGGGACTGATTTCAATATGGACAGTAAAGCCATAAAAAATAATCTCCCAAGGGCCTTTGGCCCAAAGATCAAGTAAGCTAAGCTTATGGCAGATAGAAGGGTCCAGATTCTGATTGAAAAAGAGGGCATAGCTTATAGAGCAGAATGTCATGGATGTCAGGGAAGGGGCAACAGGGGGCAGATGTAGACAACACCAAAGACTGGGGTGTCTGTGAAAGGCTGGCTTGAGAGGTCCCTGCATTCTCTGCCTGTAACAGGGCCATGCAGGTGGGCAGCTGCTGAGGAAGAAGGAATAGAAGAGATTTTCTAACTCTGATGCTCTGTCTGTGTGTCACTGGGCCTTTTTGACGCTAAATCCCTTCAGAAAATTCTACCCATTTCAGCAAGGTAGTAGGTAACAGCCTGAATTTTGAGTCCATTAAACGCAGGTTTAAATCTTGACTTTGCCGCTTATTTTAGTTCTCCTTCTATGGACAAGGTATATAGCCCCTCTAAGCCTTAGTTTCCTTGTCTGTAAATGATAGTGTCTAAATATTGGGGTGACTGTGAGTCAGCAATTAAATGAGATAATGGCAACTGTAGTTTACATTTATGGAATGCTACCTCTGCACATGATCCTTGATTATTAATTTAATCCTTACAATAGCACCGCAAGCTAAGTACAACTATTATCACTCCCATTTTTCAGGGGGAGAAAGCCAAGTTACAGAGAGAGATTATAAGTTAGTATTCAGGGTCACACAGGAAGGAACTGGCAGAACCAGGATTCAAACCCAAGCAGCTTGCTAGCACTCAGTCTTATCTGATACAACTGTCATGACAGAAGTGAGGTGGTGGCATCACAAGGGCTGCACTTACGGGCCTCCCTGGTGGCTCAGTGGGATGAGTGCAGTGCTGTGAAGCTGTCCTCAACCCCTGCAGCATGGGTTTGATTCCTGGCTGGCTATGGAGATTCCCATATGGGTGGCAGACCTCTCCTGTCGTGCCCCTCAGCAGTGCTTTTGGTCTGTCTGCCTGTTCTTCTCCCCACTGTCTCTGGTGAATCCTATCACCCTCCCATGCCTCTGGCCTGTACCCCAGCTATTGTATAAATAAAAAATAAAAATAAAAACTTAAAAAAAAAAAAAAGAGAGAGCTGCACTTACGCCCTTCCCAGAGAGGCTGAGGGGCAGGAAAGAACACTGAATGGGCACCAGCCTGCAGCATGACACACCACTTCTTTGCATTAAATGTAAAATTAAAATATCACAATGATACTAATTATAGTATCAGTGCCACAATCTCCATGTTGCCCCCAACTGCTACTTCACTTGAATCCTTTGCCCATTAACATTTCCAGGCCTCTCTAGTGAGCACCCCTTGACTGCTGAGCTGTTTTTGCCCTTATGGATATTCCCAATCCAAGTTCTTTTGAAAGTGAAACATCCCTGTTTCTCTGCTGTAAATCAGTAAGGGACCAGAGACAGGTTGAACCCAGAAGTGAAAAACAAAAGCCATGCTAGGCATGTGCACCCAGGTCACATCCTGCAGGATGAAAATGGAAACCTCTTTTGTGTATGTGTTTATGAGTCCAGTTCTATTCTCAGCCGATAAATCATCTTCTCCCTGCCTCTAGTCCTGATAGCTTAGCCTGTATCTTTCCTCTCCGTAGTCCTAGACCAAAAATCACAACAGGGTTGCTGGTGTAAAATCAACTCCACCATAAACAACGTACGTAGTCTATAGGGCAAACTTGTCTCTTTAAACTAACTAACTAACTAACTAACTAACTAACTAACTAACTAACTAACTAACCCATCTCTTCTCTGTCTTCCTATCAAGAAGAAAATTCCCAGCTTCTATTCTGTCCTGAAGGGCACAGAGCTCACTCTTTGTCAAAACTGTCTGTTTCATTTTGGACAGCTCTATTGTTAGAAATTCCTTCTCACCCAGAAGGCCTGAAATAGACCAATGGCTCATGCTTCTACTTAAGGTGTTTAAAGGGCTATTCTCTCTTCCTTTCCTTGGTCTCCTACTATTAAACTTCTCCAGTTCCTGACACAGTCACTTTTTCCCAGGACTTAATTTTAAGTTTTCTCACTTTCTGAGACAGATGTGAATTCTCCAGGGAAAGGCAATCTCAATATACAGTAGAGACGAGACTGATAATCTAGGGGCTCATGATTCTTTCAGATGAATTCTCTTTAATAAACTGTCAAATTTCAGATCCAGGCATCTTCAACCAATCAAATTTCCCATGATTAATACCAAATATGGCTGTATCCCCAAGGCTGCTGTAGTGGGGGCCTACATGAAGATCCACACAGTAGAGCAGGGAGAAAGCATGGTAAGTGTGCACTGAGCTCTGTTCACAATATAGTGTATAATGTGATGGACTAGGTGTGTTAAGTAATGAGAATAAAGACAAAATCATCCTGCTCTATATTTGATGAATTTAAGGAATATTGTCAGTTTTTGTTTTTTTTTTTTTTAAAGATATATTTATTTTTATTTATACAAGCACTGGGTATAGTCAGAAGCGCGGGAGGGTGAGAGAATTCACCAGAGCCAGAGCGGGGAGCAGAGCAGGCAGAAGGACCGAAGTACACTGCTGAGGGGAGCAGTGGGGGCAGGAGAGGTCTGTGCGCCGTGTGGGACTCTCCTCCAGAGGCCGGGGAGCAGCCGGGATCGAACTGGCGCTGCAGAGGCTGGGGGCAGCTTTGCAACCCAGCGCTCAACCGCTGTGCCATCGAGGAGGCCCCTATTGTCAGTTTTTTAGAAGATACGATAATAGTATTGTGTTTATGTTTTTTAAGAGTCATTATTTTTGGTAGCTACATATAAAAATATTTATAGATGAAATGAGATGACATCTGGGACTTGCTTTAAAATAATCCAGGAGCAAGGTAAGGATGTACCCACACACCACCCCTATTCAACATTGAACTAGAAGTGCTAGCCTAAAGCATTAAGACAAGAAAAAGAAATAAAATGTATATAGATTGGGAAGCAAGGCAGTCTTTGAAGATTACATAATTACCTATGTTGATAATTCTAGAGAATTTTAAAAAAACACCAACTCTGAAGTTAGTAAAGGATGACAGCAAGGTCTGAATTAACAATTCTGACACTGCTTGCTATACAACTATATAGAAATGGATCCCTTTAGTATTAAATGAATGGCAAGTGGTAGGAGTGGAACTTTACAGATAAGCAGGAGGGGAGGAGTCTAGAATGATGTGATAATGGATTAAAGTTGGAGACTTTAATATGAACTTGTGTTTAGGTACACACTCACACACACACACACATGCACATAGAGGGTCACATTTAGAAATAGTGATAGACCTATATATAAACCCATATCTTTTGCTCTGAGAGTTGACAGGATCTAAGAGAAATGACATCCCAGTAGCAGTAAGTATACCTAGCACCTAGATCTTGGTTTCCAATATCAATTTTTCAATAAAAGGAATAAAGACTTCTTGGAAAATGATTTATTTTAGGACTAGGGCAGGAAATACATAAAATGAGCCTGGGAAATTTTGTAGTGCCATGAAGTAAGGAAGTGTTGGGGGAAAACTCTACATTGATGGGGACAGGCATACCAAAAAGAGACACAGGCCAACTGAAAGAGCTCTTAATGACCAAAGAGAAATAATTTGAGTAACAAAATCTGATAGTATTGTTATAGAGCAACCCCGATATTAAACGGGTTCCTGGCTGTGGGTCCTCACCCGCGCGCTTTAAAGGGACTTATGAATACTCTACTACAGACACACGCAAAAGGGTTAATAAAAGGTTTATTTACAAGAGAAAAAGAAATAAGGAAAATGTACAACTCAGGGAGAAAATAGGGAAATAAAGTCTTTAATGCGTCCTACCCGATCCGACGACCTGGAAACCCCAAAGTCACTCTCAGAGCTAGACGGACGCCGCGAGCTGGCCGAGGGCCCCAAAATGGAGAGAGCCCCCAAAGCCCACGTGTCTGCCTTTTGTATCCACCTGGCTGCTTAACCCCACCCTCAGGTCCCAGCCACCTTCCCTTTGGTGGTGATGGGATTTGGAGTTCCCAGTGTCTTTGGCTTTGACCTGGGGTGGGGGTGGAGTCCACAAAGCCTGTATGGAATTTGCTTTGGGGCAGCCTTTTCCCCCTAACACTGGGGTGGGGGTGGAGTCCACAAAGCCTGTATGGAATTAGCTTTGGGACTGCCTTTTCCCCCTAACAGTATTAGATTATAACCCAAAGTAGAAAACAAACACCCGTGAGTACATTACTGATATAATAATTTTTTTTTAAAGGTTTTTATTTATTTACTTACACAAGAACCGGGGTATAGGCCAGATTCACGGGAGGGTGAGAGGATTCACCAGAGACAGAGTGGGCAACAGTACAGGCAGACTGACAAAATATACTGCTGAGGGGAGCAGCGGGCGAGACAGGAGAGATCTGCCGTGCCATGTGGGACCCTCGCTGACCGGCCGGGATGGAACCAATGGTGCAAAGGCTGCTGACAGTTTCACAGCGCTGTGCTCAACCGCCTGCGCCACCAGGGAGGCCCTGCTGATATAATAATTAATGAATAAATTGATAAGTTGGGGATAAGAGACAAATGTCCTACACAGAAGAATTCCAAATAATTTATGTAAATACTCTGCCTTAAAGGAGAGGATGTGTGACTCCTGCACCTTAGGTTTGGGCTCCACATAGTGATTTCCTTTTAGAGAGGATAGATAGTATGGGGATGGAGGAGGGTAACTTTATAGTAGAGAAATCTCAGAAATATCATCTCAGCCAGGTGATCAAAGCCACCATTGACAGTAATACATCATGTTGATGGTATTACTCTTGATATGATGTAGTGAAAATGTCTCTTTACCTCTGTGATCTCCCTAATAACCTATAATACCATTCTAATTGTGAGATGAAAATCAAACAAATTCTAATAGAGGGGCATCCTACAAAATACCTGACCCGTTACTCTTCAAAAATGTCAAGTTCACCATAAATGAAGTAAGTCTGAGAAACTACCACAGTCAAGAGGAGCTAAAGATACATGCCAATAAAAGTACTATGTCCTGAGCCTTCCTGGTGGCTCAGGGGTTAAGTCTCAGCGCTATCAAGCTATCTCCAGACACTGTAGCATAAGTTCAATCCCCCGCCAGGGAGCTAATCCACATGGCGCCAGGGAGCTAATCCACATGGCGCACCAGACCTCTCCTGTCTTGCCTGCTGCTCCCCTTGCAACAGGGTGGTCCCCAGGAAAGGGGGAGGTTCCCTGCCCCACCCAAGGGAGGGTGGAGCTGAGCAGCAAGAGTTGAAGCTGAAGAAGAGACTGAGGAAGGAAGCAGGATGGAGCCAGGAGACCTGGAGGAGGCGCATGGAGCCTAGAGACATGTGAAGAAACTGCGCTTGTCTTTTGGTCGTGGACTGGGTGACACAGATGTGGATGAGACCCGTGGGGAGATGACAATGGCAGCTTTTATCTGGATGTTGATTTTGCTCTTTTCCTTCCGGGCTTGTCCGGTTGTTTGTGACCCTTTTCTGTGGGTCCCCACTGGAAGATGCTTTAGACTTGTGGCAGGCTTTGGGGCCTTGCTCTGGGCCGACCCCATATGGATGGAGTTTTACCCACGAGGGGACGGGTAACTTTGGGTGCTTCATTTAGAAACTAGACTCTTTGCCTCACCTGTATTGTTTCCTAGTTTTTATTAAAGATCCTTCCCATTAAAGTGTCATATGTTTTGTGTTGATGCAGCAGATGGCAGAACCCATTTAGAATAGGCAGGTTTGCGGGGTTTGGGCTGCCCCTCTCCCTGTCCTATAACACCCTCAGCAGTATATTTCAATAGATCCGTCTATTCTGCTCCCCACTCTGTCTCTGGTGAATCCTCTCACCCCCCACACCTCTAGCCTGCACCCTAGCTCTTGTATGCATAAATATATAAATCTTTTTTTTTTTTTTTAAAGTTCTGTGTCCTGGCTAGGATTGTGAAATAGAAAAAGGCTATTGGGCAAAAACAGAGAATATCATGTGTTGAACTGACAGCAGCATAATAATATTGTTAATAACAGTATATCAATATTGGTTCATTAATTGTAGCAAAGATATATCATGTGAATGTAAGATATTAGTAACAGGAAAAGTGGGCTTGGGATATATGGGAACTCTATTATTTTCTCAATTTTTCTGTAAGTCTAAACTTGTCTGAAAAATGAAGCGTATTAAAATCATCCAGTGGAGGGAGATGTGTGGACGAAACGAATTTGGCTATAAGTTGATCTTTGTGGGAGCTGGAGCTTTGTGTTGAGCTTTGTGGGAGTTTTGTGGGAGGGAGACTGGAGGTGGGTGGGCATGAGCACTGTCTGGCAAGTGGCAATGGCCCTCAATATGCCTGGGGAGGGTTGTCTTCTGACCCCCTGTGTGGTCACTGTAATTAAGAGGCTGCTCCTTTGCTGCATGCTCTCTCTGCTGTTCAGAATCTCTAGGGGCTTCATACCCCACTCACCCCTTATTGTGGTGGGCTTTTAATGCTCCTGCCTCACTGGACTGTATGTCTTTGGAGAGGGAAGTTCAGCCCAGCATAATGTAGGGGTCCCAGACCTTAGGTCCAGCCCTCAGTCAATGTTAGTGAAATAATTTTTAAGCTCTTAGGAAGCTCTTTCTTTTGTTCAGTGAAACTGACTCCTGCAGCTTTTTTTCCTTTTATTTTTTCCCCTCTATTTCTCCTGCAGCTTTTAACTAGCTCTTCCTTCACCCTACCCCACCCCCAAGAAGCTGAATCAGCTTCCTTGCCATGTGATGACCCTGAGATATTTTAGGAATGCTGTTTTGTTTTGGTTTCCATTCAACATTTATAGAGCTAGTCACAGTGCCAATGTCCTGTTAATTATTTTCTTATTCAGACAGAACATCTTTCATTCCTCCAATCAGTCTTCATGTGATGTTTCCAGCCTTCTCACTGACCACTTTGCTGCAGTTTGTCAGTGTTTCAGAATGTGATGCTTAGGTCAAAATACAGGCTGCCTGAGTGAATGCAGCCTCACATGGGCAGGGATAAGAAATTGGGGGCCACACGACACTGGGGCAGATTGGAGGCACCTGAGGGCAGAAAAACGTTGCCCAGTTTGGTGATAGTGATGGAAGGGGGAGGTTATGTAAAATGAGAGGAAAAGAGTCTAAAATGGAACAAGAGGTCCTGTATTGTAGAAGGCCTACAATGCTGAATAGGGAAGTTGCACTTCATTCTCTGGAGAGTTTTGGAAGGCTTTGGGGGTGGGGTGAGGTGGGGTGGCTTAGAGCAAGAACCTGACTGCTTAGTTTGCCACATAGGCCCAACACCTAAAAGGCCCCTAACAAATATCTGGTAATGTGACCCCTTTGAAGAGAATGCCTGTGGATATCCCTTTGGCAAAATTCTGTCCTTCCCTACTTTCAAGACCATGGCTACTTTTGTAGGTAAATGAATGATAACAGCTGTGACTATTCACTCACCTGGGAGGGAGGAGATCACAGTTTCCTCATCCTTGGAAAAAGAAAACCTGAAAACAGCAGAGGGTCCTAGAGTAGAGAAAAGCACTTTTTTCTCTAGGAGGTGTAGGGAAACCAGCTTCTCCAGGGAATAGGCAGGCTGAGGTCTCAGAGCTGGTCGAGAAGTGAGCTCCTACTTGGGGCCTCAGTTTTCCCATGTAGAAAATCTGCTGGTAGGAGTGGGTGGTCTCTGATGTTTGACTTTCTGGGAATTCTTTTCTCTAGGGCCTTCACCAGATCCTCCTCCCAGAGACCCAACAGGACATGCGCCCCTTGATCCTCGTGAGCCTGGGATCTGAGGTGATACGGATGAAGAAAAAAAAGTTTTGTGAACTGATTGACAGTGAGATTACAGAAAAATTGTCCAGGTTCCAAATCCAGTACCCCAGGTCAGTGCGGGAAAGCGCATAACCCCCACCAGGTCAAATGAACAATTTTTGCCTGTTATTTTAGTAAATGAAAGAAAAAAAGTAATATAATCCCTGATTCAAATGAGTGTGATTGTCCCTAATTCTAAAACTGGTATTTGTTGGTATGTTGTAAATTGGCTTAGTCCTTCTGATGTTAATTTTAGCTTTGTGTTTCATGGCCATGAAACTCTTCCCAGACTTTGAAGCAATGGTTCACAGGTATATGTATCTTTTTTTTTTGTATATTTATTCTTTTCTTCCTTTTATTTTATTTTGTTTTTTTTAATTTAAATTTTATTTTTATATTCCCCATACAATTACAACCCCCTTATTTTTACCCCAAGCCCTCCTTTCCCCACCCCCCACCTCCCATAGAGTGTCTCTTGTTCATAGTTATTTGTTGATTTTGATATTTTCTTTCTTATAGTTATTCTTTTTCCTGGTCCCTTATTTAAGTTTTCTAGATTCCTGCTGTAACAGGGTGGTCCCCAGGAAAGGGGGAGGTTCCCTGCCCCACCCAAGGGAGGGTGGAGCTGAGCAGGAAGAGGAGAAGCTGCAGAAGAGACTGAGGAAGGAAGCAGGATGGAGCCAGGAGACCTGGAGGAGGCGCATGGAGCCTAGAGACACGTGAAGAAACTGTGCTTGTCTTTTGGTCGTAGACTGGGTGACACAGATGTGGGTGAGACCCATGGGGAGGTGACAATGGCAGTTTTTATCTTGATGTTGATTTTGCTCTTTTCCTTCCGGGCTTGTCTGGTTATTTCTGACCCTTTGCTGTGGGTCCCCACTGGAAGATGCTTTAGACTTGTGGCAGGCTTTGGGGTTTGCTCTGGGCCAATCCCATTTGGATGGACTTTTACCCACGAGGGGACGGGTAACTTTGGGTGCTTCATTTAGAAACTAGACTCTTTGCCTTACCTGTATTGTTTCCTAGTTTTATTAAAGTTCCTTCCCATTAAAGTCTTATATGTTTTGTGTTGATGCGGCGGATGGCAGAACCCATTTAGAATAGGCAGGTTTGCGGGGCTTGGGCTACCCCTCTCCCTGTCCTATAACACTGCTATGAGTGCGACCATCCGATATTTTTCTTTTTCTTTCTGGCTTATTTCGCTGAGCATGATTCCTTCCAGCACCATCCATATTGCTGCAAATTGCATGTGTTTATCTTTTTTGAATGCTGAGTAATTTTCCATGGTGTATATGTACCACATCTTCTTGATCCAGTCATCTATTTTTGGACATTTGGGTTGTTTCCAAATCTTAGCTATTGTAAATAGTGCTGCTATAAACATAGGCGTGCAGGTGCTCTTTGGAATTGATGTTTCTGTGTCCTCTGGGTAAATACCTACGAGTAGAATTGCTGGATCATATGGAAGCTTTATGTTTAGTAGGTCAAGAAATCTTCACACAGCTCTCCATAGTGGTTGTGTTAGGGGGAAAAGGATGTCCCAAAGCTAATTCCATATAGGCTTTGTGGACTCCACCCCCACCCCAGGTCAAAGCCAGAAACACTGGGAACTCCAAATCCCATCACCACCAAAGGGAAGGTGGCTGGGACCTGAGGGTGGGGTTAAGCAGCCAGGTGGATATAAAAGGCAGACACGTGGTCTTTGGGGATCCCCATTTTGGCTCTCCACCCGGCCACCTCTGAGAGTGACTTTGGGTTTCCAGGTCGTCGGATCTGGTAGGACGCATTAAAGACTTTATTTCCCTATTTTCTGCCTGAGCTGTACATTTTCCTTATTTCCTTTTCCCTTGTAAATAAACCTTTTATTAACCTTTTGTGTGTGTGCCTGTAGTGGAGTATTCATAAGTCCCTTTTAAGCGCACGGGTGAGGACCCACAGGCAGGAACCCGTTCAATATCGGGGTTGCTCTATAACAGCTGGACCAGTTTGCACTCCTACCAACAGTGCAGGAGAGTTCCTTTTTCTCCACTACCTTGCCAACATTTGTTGTTGCTAGTTTTTTTAATATGTGCCATTCTCACTGGTGTGAGATGGTATCTCATGGTAGTTTTGATTTGCATTTCCCTGATTACATGTGATGCTGAACATTTTTTCATATGCCTGTTGGCCATTTGCATTTCCTCTTCAGAGAAATTTCTTTTTAGCTCTTCTGCCCATTTTTTGACAGGATTATTTTCTTTGTTTTTGTTGAGTCTCATCAGCTCTTTGTAGATTTTTGTGATCAGTCCTTTATCATTAGTGTTGTGTGCAAAAATGTTCTTCTCCCAGTCGGTGGGGTTTCTCTTTGTTTTTGTTACTGTCTCTTTTGCTGTGCAGAAGCTCTTTAATTTGATGTAGTCCCAGCTGTTTATCTTTGCCTTCTCTATCACTGCTTTGGGTGATGTGTCTGTAAAGATGTCTTTGATGTGCATATCATGTAGTGTTTCGTCTATATTTCCTTCTATGTATTTTATGGTTTCAGGTCTTATATCTAGTTCTTTAATCCATTTTGAGTTGGTTTTTGTGCATGGTGTTAGGTAGTAGTCAAGCTTCATTCTTTTTTCTTTCTTTTTTTTTTTAAAGATTAATTAATTAATTAATTAATTTATACAATCACTGGGTACAGTCAGAAGCACAGGAGGGTGAGAGAATTCACCAGAGCCAGAGCGGGGAGCAGAGCAGGCAGAAGGACCGAAGTACAATGCTGAGGGCAGCAGCAGGCGGCAGGAGAGGTCTGCGCGCCATGTGGGACCCTCCTCTGGTGGCCGGGGAGCAGCCGGGGATCGAACCAGTGCTGCAGAGGCTGCAGGTAGCTTCACAATCCAGCACTCAACCGCTGCGCCACCGGGGAGGCCCAAGCTTCATTCTTTTGCATGTAGCGACCCAGTTTTCCCAGCACCATTTATTGAACAAACTTTCTTTGCTCCAATGCATATTCTTTGCTCCTTTGTCAAAGATTAGTTGACCATAAATCTGTGGGTTTATTTCTGGATTTTCTATTTGATTCCATTGGTCTGTGTGTCTGTTCTTGTTCCATTACCATGCAGTTTTGATGATTATGGCTTTGTAGTAAAGTTTGAAGTCTGGGAGTGTGATGCCTCCATTCCCTTCTTTTTTTTTTCAGGAGAACTTTGGCTATTCGGGGTTTTTTGTGGTTCCATATGAATTTCATCAATAATTGTTCTATTTCTTTGAAGAATGACATTGAAATTTTTATTGGAATAGCATTGAATCTGTATATTGCTTTTGGTAGGATGGCCATTTTAATAATGTTTATTCTTCCAATCCATGAGCAGGGGATGTCTTTCCTTTTCTTTGTGTCATCTTCTATTTCTCTTAACAGTGTTTATAGTTTTCTTTGTATAGGTCCTTTAATAGGTATATGTATCTTTATATAACTAAATTATGGGGAAAGCTAAATGCATTAAAAGATGTTCGTAGCAGCCATATTCATAATACTGAGGAAAAGACCCACTACCTCCTCACACATGTGGCTCTTAAGGAGATGGTTTAGAAAGTTGTGATACATTCCCTTGCTAGAATATAACTGTTTTATTAAAAAAAAAAACAAACTTAAGTTTAATAACTTTATAGCAGGAGTACAGCCTCTCACCTCAGCAACTGTGTATTTCACACCACACTCACCACCAAATGTCCAATCATCATCTACTGCTATTCTCTCCCTGCCCAGGCCTCTGCCCTTTCCCCTCTTGCACTGACCATTTTGTTGATGGAATCTAAGGGTTTGTTTTGTTTTTGTTGTGTTTGATTGTTTTTGGTATTTATCTTCTCACTTATTTCAAATTAGCATTATTCCCTCAAGGTCCATCCACGCTGTGGAAAATGACAAGATGTCATCTTTTTATGGCCAAGTAGTATTCCATTGTGTATATATATCATATCTTCTTATTTTTTAAGATTTTTATTTATTTATTTATTTATTTTTGTGTAGAACCGGGATGTAGGCCAGAAGTGTGTGAGGGAAAGGATTCACTAGACTGGGGAGCAGAACAAGCAGATCCACTGAAACACACTACTAAAGGGAGCAGCAGGCAAGAGAGAAGAGGTCTGCTGCGTCATGTGAGTTAGCTCCTTGGCCAGGGATTGAACTTCAGGCTATTGCAGTGGTAACGCTGAGACTTAACCCCTAGGCCACCAGGGAGGCCCATATTATATCTTCTTAATCCATTCATCCATTATCAGACACTTGGATAGTTTCCACATCTTGGCTATTGTAAATAGTGCCTCAGTTTCCCCCTTAGTCATATCCATTCTTTATACTGTGCTCTTAGTGAAACTCAAATCAGGCTATGTTAAACTCTTGCTTAAAGGTGAAAACCAAGACCATTTTTTGTCTCCAACAACTCTAAATTAGCATTTTGTATATTTCCTTTTAGGATTTTTATTTGGGGGGTGGGGCACACATGGATATATACCAAATTTGATTTTATCTTTCAGGTATGTAAAATTTTACAATAGAGATTATACTGGTTATATGATTTTGCAGCTTCCCCTTTTTCTTTACTTGTAATGATACCGTGATCAAGCATAGCTTTGCTGGCAGGTGTGGGAAATGAGTGATTCCAGTAGTGACTCAATAGAGAAAGGGGAAGTGTGGCAGCAAGTACATCTATAGAATCACTTCAGCCAGGTCCATTAATCCACATGACAGAAATCTGTATGATCTTGGATAAGTCATTTCCTTCCTCTTGGCTTCAGATGCCAATCTGCAAAATAAAATTAGACTAGATCAATGTTTTCCAAAGAATGGAACATCACCACAGGAGGTGTACAAGATTATTTTAGGTGGTACATATATTAACATTTTTTTTTTTTTTAAATAGAGGCATGTTTTTTATTTATTTATTTATTTATTTTGTTTGTTTGTTTTGTTTATACATGCACTGGGTACAGTCAGAAGCGCGGGAGGGTGAGAGAATTCACCAGAGTCAGAGCGGGGAGCAGAGCAGGCAGAAGGACCGAAGGACACTGCTGAGGGGAGCAGCGGTTGGCAGGAGAGGTCTGCGCGCCATGTGGGACCCTCCTCTGGTGGCCGGGGAGCAGCCGGGGATCGAACCGGCGCTGCACCCGCGGGCAGCTTCGCAACCCAGCGCTCAACCGCTGCGCCACCTGGGAGGCCCAACATTTTTAGTTTTAATAATTATGTATTTATTCTAGTGAGAATTAGGAAAATAACATGACTAAGTTTACTAAGCCCACAATTCAACAGATCTTGTTGCTTAGAATGGAACCACAGTAAATATTTAAGTAAAAGAACTAAATAGGTTTAAGAAGAAAAGTAATCAGTAAGGGCCTCCCTGGTGGTGCAAGGAGGCCTTGCACTCTTCACTGTACTATGAAGAAATCTGCAGCCACTACAGCACGAGTTCGATCCCCGGCCAGGGAGCAACCCACATGGCACAGCAGACCTCTCCTGACTTGCCTGCTGCTCCCTTCAGCAGTGAACTTCAGTCAATCTGCCTGTTCTGTTCCTCACTCTGTCTCCAGTGAATCCTTTCACCCCCCACATCTCTAGCCTGTAACCCAGTTCTTGTATGCATAAATAAATAAATAAATCTTTAAAAAAAAAAAAAGTCATCAGTAAATTAAAGAACAGATGATTTACAAATATGGCCCAAACTGGGGCAGTTTTATGAGAAAATCAATTTGGGAAATGCTGGTGGTTCATTGTCGTTCAAAGATGTCACAGTTCTCTGACTCCTATGTACTGGCAATATGAAACATGGCTGTGTAGAGTCACCTATTTGAAAAAGACTTTAAGGGACCTTAGCTTCTTGCATAATGCCTGGCACATGATGGGCATCTGTTAGTGTTTGTTGAATTGAAATTCAGAAAAGGTTTGCACAGACTTGAGGGTGGCAGATGTTTGGGCACTCAGAATCTTTGCCTACCCAGTCATCATTTTGCTGCAATCACCTATAATGCTGACACACCAATTCTCTTATTCATTAATAGTTGAACTCATGGCTTTCCAGACTGCTAAAGCAGGCAGAAAACATAGCCATTACTAGTTCCAATTCTCCATGATTTAAGTGAGGACTATAAGACCCAGGAAAGGGCATGTGACATCCTAAAGATCACACAGACAATGGCAGAGAGACCTGTCCTATGAATGCCACAGGATAGAACCTAAAACCTCTGCTCCCTACAAGGCACATAATGTAATGCATAGCTGAGTTCACAAGAAAGAAGGGAGCTCCCCCACCCACTGCCCCAAACACATATCTCAAGGACCAAAAGGAAGAGGCCCTAAAAGCTAAGGCACAGAGTATGATTTAGTGTTGGAATTGCCCAGCAGGGGAAAGAGGTTTTAGAATATCATGTGCTGAAGTTTTACAGCCTGTAAGGACATAGGAATCTTTCAGTTCAAGTAAGGCCAGGGATTGAAACTGATACTCCTCCATGAAGCTGAGGTCTTTAGAACTACCCCATTTAGTAAAAAGTAGAGTAGGGACTCCCTGGTGGCGCAAGGGATTAAGCACAGCACTGTGAAGCTATCTGCAGCCTCTGCAGCAGGAGTTCGATCCCTGGCCACCCAGGGAGCTACCCACATGGCGCAGCAGATCTCTCCTGTCTCTCTGCTGCTCCCCTCAGCAGTGTATTTCAGTCAATCCGCCTGTTCTGCTCCCCACTCTGTCTCTGGGGAATCCTCTCCTCACCCCCGACCCACTTCTGGCCTGTACCCCAGTTCTTGTATGCATAAATAAATCTTTAAAAAAATAACCAACTCTCCAGGAGGTTAAAGGTAACTCTGATTTATAATATTTGCTGATGGCCAATGTCAAGTTACCAACCAGATGGGGCCTCCCCAGTGGCGCAGCAGTTGAGCGCTGGGTTGCGATGCTGCCCGCAGCCTCTGCAGCACCAGTTCAATCCCCAGCTGCTCCCCAGCCACTGGAGGAGGGTCCCGCATGGCGCGCAGACCTCTCCTGCCGCCCGCTGCTCCCCTCAGCAGTGTGCTTCGGTCCTTCTGCCTGCTTTGCTCCCTGCTCTGGCTCTGGTGAATTCTCTCACCCTCCTGTGCTTCTGACTGTATCCAGTGCTTGTATAAATAAACAAATAAATAAATAAATCTTTAAAAAAAAAAAAGTTACCAACCAGATGTATCTGAACATGGAGTTGAGAAGAGATGTACATTATCAGCAATCAAGCCATCATGAATTGGTAGGAGTTGACTTTGCCACACTGCTGACACCACCGGGACCAGCTGGTAGACCATTCTGTCCCCTGGAGGTTTTTTTTTAATTGAGTTGATCTCTATGGATCAAGGTTTACTTTGTCCTGGTTAATATAATCTGACCAGAAGAATGTCCTAATTTGTTAGTGTTGTGTTAGGTTTGTCTCCTTAGCTGAGCGTGGGCAGGTTGATGGAAGTGGAACATATCCTTCCCTTACTGTGGTCTCAGAAGAAGATAAGCCGATGAATGCTTGTCCCTTTACACTCTCCCCCACTTTCCCCACCCCTCATATGTTGTGAGGTTGGGGGACAGAGTTGAGCCAAGACACCAAGACCAGTTTAAATTAAAGTAGCTGCCTATCTATTTTCCGTCTCTCTAGTTTTCCCAGTTTTGGGCATTTCATATAAGTGAATTCAAACAATATGTGTTCTTTTGTGATTGGTTTCTTAGCATATTATTTTCAAGGTTCATCTGTGTTGTGGCAGGTTATTAGTACCTCAATCCTTTTTATTGTCAAATCACATTATCATACATCTCTAGGACACTATCCATTTGTCAGTTGATGGGCATTTGGGTTGTTTCCACTTTTTGGCTATTATGAATAATTCTGTGAATGTTCATGCACAGCAAGTCTTCACTTAATATTATTGATAGATTCTTGGAAACTGACTTTAAGTAAAACCACATATGACAAAGCAAATTTTCCTTAACTAATTGATAAAAGCAAGAGTTAAGTTCCTTTGACATATTTCTGATCACAAAAATGTCACCAACCTTCTAAATACCCAAAATGGTTCTAACGTTGAACAATACATTCATTTTACAGCACACTTACTCCAGGGTCATGGGTGGCTGGAGCCTATCCCAAGCAGCTCAGGACCTGCACAGATCATCCCTTCCATTGCAGGGCTTTCTCTCTCACTAGGAAAATTTAGACATGCCAATTAACATTATATGCACATCTTTGGGATGTGGGAGGAAATCAGAATACTTGGAGAAAACCCACACAGACATGGGGAGAATGTGCGAACTTAAATAGTGGCCCTGGTTGAGAACTGATTTTTTTTTTTCTCATCAACTTTATAATGAAAAGATATTGAATGAAATGATGTTATTTGAGGACCTGCTGAACAAGTTTTTGTGTGGGCCTGTGTTTTCATATCTCCTAGGAGTAAAATTGCTGGGTCATAAGTTAACTCTGTTTAATCCTTTGAGGAACAGACTGTTTTTCAAAGTGGCTGTGCCAGTTTACATTCTCATCAGTAGTGTATTGGGACCCTTATCCCAATGTGTCTATATCCTCATCAACACTTACCTTTATCTATCTTTTTAATGATAGCCATTCTAGTAGGCATCTCATTGTGGTTTTGATTTACATTTCCTTGATAGCTAATAATCACACGTGTAACTTAAGATTTTCAGTAGCCAGATTATAACAAGTAAAAAGAAATGGGTAAAATCAGTTTTAATAATATATTTCATTGCATTCAGTGTATCTAAAATATTACCATTTCAACATGTAAGCAACATAAAAATTATTAATGACATATCCTACATTCTTTTTTGTATTAAGTCTTTGCAATCTGCTATGTATTTTATACTCACAACACCCACAATTCAGATTGGCTATACTCAGATACAGGTTAGTTACATGTGGCTCATGGTAGCCACAGGGAACAGTACAAGTGTGGGGTAAGAAAGTTGTGAAGTGTGGAGATTTCTGGACCTACTAAACATAGAGCTTCCATATGATCCAGCAATTCCACTCCTAGGTATTTACCCAAAAGACACAGAAACATCAATTCCAAAGAGCACCTGCACCCCTATGTTTATAGCAGCACTGTTTACAATAGCTAAGCTTTGGAAACAACCCAAATGCCC